AGGCATCATCTAGTTAAATGTGCACTAATTTGCATTAAATTCCCAGAACAGAAATCTGAACACTGCATGAAGCCAGGTTAAAAATTCTTGTTTCGTTTTGTTGACATATTAGTTTGGAAAGTTTTTACAGAGGGGATTTTGCATATTTCTTTTTATCATTCGATAAATAAGAAAACACTGCCAACAGCCAGTAAACATTTTCACAGTGTTTTTAGGAATTTTATATTATACATTGAATTGTATGTTATATGAATCAGATAATTGAAATATGAACAAACCTCTCTGTAAAAACCTTCAGAAATATATAGGAATAAAACTGTAAAGTTTAGTGTATATAAATGCTGCTGAATTGGAGAAAAACTCCTTTTGAGAAAACCACGTTTAAAGATACGTATGTATTGTAATTGAAATCTACAGACGCAAAATTGGTAAAATAAAATAAACAAAACAAATGAATGTTTTCTTTCCACTAGACATGTTATGGAAGCAAAATAGCCCAAAATAACTAAATTAACCAGTGAAAAAACAATGGTTTTGCATGTAGTGCCTTGCCTTAATTGATTATTATTAAATGTTTGGGTGGGATACAAAACTTAATAGAAACAGAACTGTCAAAAAATGTCTTTTTTTATTTCATGGTGACTTGTTGCATAGATCAGCAAAAATGAGCGAGGCAATATATTCAAGATTTAAAAGCATATATGTGACCCTGGAGCACAAAACCAGTCTGGAGCACAAAACCAGTCTTAAAGAGATAGTTCACCTGAAAATGTGAACCTTTCAAACCCGTAAGACCTTCGTTCATCTTCAGAACACAAATTAAGATATTTTTGATGGAATCTGAGAGCTGACCCTCCCATAGACAGCAACGCAACTGAAATGTTCCCAAGTCCAGAAACGTAGCAAGGAGATCTGTAAAATAATCCATGTGACATCAGGGGTTCATCTGTAATTATACGAAGCTACGAGAATACTTTTTGTCCGCTAAAGGAAAAAAAAACGACTTTATTCAACAATTCGTCTCCCCGCATCACCCTGGTGCCATTCTGGAGAATATCCACTGGACGGAAACAACGTATGCTGTTCTGTGTCAGCTGCGTCACGCCGGATCTGTTTCCTGCGTTGTTGTGATTTGATCTGAACGGAAACAGTGTATCCGTGTCCATCAAAAATATCTTAATTTGTGTTCCGAAGATCAACGAAGGTCTTACGGGTTTGAAACGACATGAGGGGGAGTAATTAATGACAGAATTGCTGAAAAACAGCTTTGATATAAACCTCCTCTATATGTAATTTGTTAACAAGTAACAGTAATTGTAATTTAAGTGATTTTCTTATGTCAAATGTATTTATTTTTCTTATTTAAGGCAGAACATGTGATTAGAGGGAAAAAAATAAACTCGCTGATTGATCAGTACATTAAGATAATTTTTTTGTAATACAAGTTTTCTGAGTTGTTATGTTTAAATATGCAAATTAGGCATCATCTAGTTAAATGTGCACTAATTTGCATTAAATTCCCAGAACAGAAATCTGAACACTGCATGAAGCCAGGTTAAAAATTCTTGTTTCGTTTTGTTGACATATTAGTTTGGAAAGTTTTTACAGAGGGGATTTTGCATATTTCTTTTTATCATTCGATAAATAAGAAAACACTGCCAACAGCCAGTAAACATTTTCACAGTGTTTTTAGGAATTTTATATTATACATTGAATTGTATGTTATATGAATCAGATAATTGAAATATGAACAAACCTCTCTGTAAAAACCTTCAGAAATATATAGGAATAAAACTGTAAAGTTTAGTGTATATAAATGCTGCTGAATTGGAGAAAAACTCCTTTTGAGAAAACCACGTTTAAAGATACGTATGTATTGTAATTGAAATCTACAGACGCAAAATTGGTAAAATAAAATAAACAAAACAAATGAATGTTTTCTTTCCACTAGACATGTTATGGAAGCAAAATAGCCCAAAATAACTAAATTAACCAGTGAAAAAACAATGGTTTTGCATGTAGTGCCTTGCCTTAATTGATTATTATTAAATGTTTGGGTGGGATACAAAACTTAATAGAAACAGAACTGTCAAAAAATGTCTTTTTTTATTTCATGGTGACTTGTTGCATAGATCAGCAAAAATGAGCGAGGCAATATATTCAAGATTTAAAAGCATATATGTGACCCTGGAGCACAAAACCAGTCTGGAGCACAAAACCAGTCTTAAAGAGATAGTTCACCTGAAAATGTGAACCTTTCAAACCCGTAAGACCTTCGTTCATCTTCAGAACACAAATTAAGATATTTTTGATGGAATCTGAGAGCTGACCCTCCCATAGACAGCAACGCAACTGAAATGTTCCCAAGTCCAGAAACGTAGCAAGGAGATCTGTAAAATAATCCATGTGACATCAGGGGTTCATCTGTAATTATACGAAGCTACGAGAATACTTTTTGTCCGCTAAAGGAAAAAAAAACGACTTTATTCAACAATTCGTCTCCCCGCATCACCCTGGTGCCATTCTGGAGAATATCCACTGGACGGAAACAACGTATGCTGTTCTGTGTCAGCTGCGTCACGCCGGATCTGTTTCCTGCGTTGTTGTGATTTGATCTGAACGGAAACAGTGTATCCGTGTCCATCAAAAATATCTTAATTTGTGTTCCGAAGATCAACGAAGGTCTTACGGGTTTGAAACGACATGAGGGTGAGTAATTAATGACAGAATTTTCATTTTTGGGTGAAAACTTTTATGCCAAAAATCATTAGGATATTATGTAAAGATCATGTTCCATGACGATATTTAGTAAATGTCTTACCGCTTAATTTTTGATTAGTAATATGCATTGCTAAGAACTTCATTTGGACAACTTTAAAGATGATTTTCTCAATATTTAGATTTTTTTTGCACCCTCAGATTCCAGATTTTCAAATAGATGTTATCACGGCCAAATATTGTCCGATCCTAACAAACCATACATCAATGGAAAGCTTATTTATTCAGCTTTCAGATGATGTATAAATCTCAATTTCCAAAAATGGACCCTTATGACTGGTTTTGAGGTCCAGGGTCACATTTGGTCTTACAGAAGATCCTCAAGGTCAGTTGTGGGATAAAAACAAGGTCACCGTTCTCTCTCTGTCTCTCAGCGTTCCCAAAGAGGAAATGGAATTCCAGCACAATCTGGAGCAGATTAAAGAACATGAGGAGGCCAATCATTCCACTCCATTCCTGGGCAGCTTGAGTCGCATTCTGGGTGTCCAGTCGCCCAATTTCTCCCGCCCGACACCCACGTCCCGAGTCTCCCTCCTGCGGCGGCGTCCCCGCGCCCCCTTCTCTCGTTTCCCCCTTTACCTCCATCCCGAGAACTCTCCGATGCCCAGCCACGCCCGGAATGCTGACATAGAGGATGCGTTCTCATCCATGCCTCTATACGAAAGACCCGGTTTCTACAGTTGCCCTCAGACGCCCATCCACTGCGTCCCTCCGTCCATTCCTCGCCCAAGGCTGCGAAGAGCGCACGGCGACAGCTCCAGCTCCCTGGCGCATCCCCTGGTGGGCTCGCCAGTCCTGTCTACACCTGACACGCCCGCGCCTCCGTCCTCCGCCTTCCCTTGGGTGGGCGAAGACAGTGAACATTCGGGTCCCGCTTTCTGCTTTCCGGACCCTGTGCCTGAGCTGTTACCCAAAGTATGGCCAAGTCAAGGGTTGCCGTCGCGTCGGCCCCTGCCTCTACGACTCTCTTTGGACACGTCGCCATCTCCGTCTACACCCGAAAGGGTGTTTTCTTTCACCCCTCCATCTTGGCCGCAAGCTCAAATCCACACTGCCAGTTCAGGGAGTGTGAATGTGACCGCAGCGACAAACAGCAACAGTAACCTGTGCAACGGGGCAGCAAATAATCCCTGGCCAATCAGCAGAAGCACCACTGCAAGCACAGCCAATCCTGTCAGCACCAGCCCCACAGCAAGAGAAGATATTATGGTACGTACCTGATGGAAAATAGAGTTTAGTTTTGCAGTGCATTCACATCTAGATTCTTAAATACTTTATATAAACTATTGGAATTTTCATGACTTTCTAGGCCTGTGTGATTAATAATATGAGTTTTTATTCATATTTTAAAGTTTTATTTTTATGTATTGTCCATTTTAATTTTAGATTAGGTTTTAGTAATTCTAGATTTTTTTTTCTGGCTCTCTTTCACTTAGTCAGGAAATGCTTTATGAATTATGCATCTATTCTTAAATAATTGATGTATAGGTATTTTCATGAATCTTCTAGTGTTGTTTTAGCATCCTAAATATACTATAATCGTTTTTTGAATTAGTATTTATTTTTATGTTTTCCATTTTAATTTGACTAAGTTTTAGTAATTTTGTGCGTTTGGTCTAGATTTTATTTTTTTTGCTGACTCACTTTCACTTAAAGACAGGAAAAGCTTCATGAATTATGCATCTATTCTTAAATTTCATTCATCATTAATTATGCATGTCTGTTCTCAAATGTCTTGTTTTCTTTTTTTTTGTTGTTACATCCTGCCAGTAAATGTGAGCCTGGAGCACAAAAGCAGTGTTAAGTCGCTGGGGTATATTTGTAG